ACGTTGCCATCTTATTTAAATTGAAATATATTTTAAAATAAATGGTACAGTACATTTTGCTCTGGTAATCCACTGGAAACACACCCCTATGGTGGGATCAGGGTAATCCAGTTTTTTGGGATCAAACTGATCCCAATCCTGTGTTGTCGGTTTGAACTACCCGTTTTGAAGATTTGATCCAGATTAAAGCTTGAATTGGATTTCCTGATCTGATCGGATATCAAAGTGATCCTAATCCTGTTTTTTGGTTTTGAACTCCCCAAAATCCAAATCTGATCTGATCAGATAGGGATTAAAAGTTTTGAACTCCTGGGCCCAGTGACTACAGGTGACTACAGGTGACTACCAGTTGACTGAGGTGGCTAAGAAATGCTAATGCAGAAAATAGATGAGTGAGGGAGCAGACTGTGACAGGCTGCATATACATATATTTAAATAATGTGTTTCTCTTGTAAATGGACTGTTCTTATATATCTCTTTATCAGGTCTCCACGACCCCTCAGAGCGCTGGGATCTAACCAACAACCGCCCTCCCCCCAGCCACAGTCTTTACGGTAAAAGCTGTTTAACCATAAAAGCAACTGAAGTTTTGATGGATAATTGAAACCATTGCATCCAATCCTGTTTATCCATTCCTAAACTCCCAGCTGCTTCTTATTTCTTCTCAACATGTGCATTTCACGTCGAACCTGCAGTTTTTAAAGATCATTTCTAGATTAAAGAAGAAGAAAATAGTCAGGAAACAACAAATTAAAACAGTATAAATGCATTAAATGATTTAATTACATGAACATCTTAATTGATGCTAATTGCTTCAAAGCTTCGGAGTCTGAAGGTTGTTGGTTCAAATCCCCTCCAGGCCTTTTAACAAAAGCTCCTTTAAGCCATCAGCCTTCAGAAGCCCTCACACCATGAAGATGATCCACTAAGAACACATGTTGACAGGATCATCAGAGACAGACTTCACTCCCTCTCTCAGCCTTCAGAGGAAAAGCACGAGGCGGAGGAACAGCTTTTATATGGAATCTACAAAGAACTCGAGTCACGCTCTATTGTGCAGCAGACTTTCAGAGTCAGTTGGAATGTAAAACATTTCAGGCTCAGGATCATTCAGAGGGTCACATGACCCTAACTGCTGTCACTCCTCACCTGAGTAGCAGCTCATCTGCTGTGTTTCAGATGATCATGTGACCGCAGACTCTGTCAGGGTCGGGGAACAATAGGACCCAAATGCAGAATGAGGAGGAAGCAGGTTTCAAAATGAAACAAAAGGCGAGCTTTATTTACAACAGCTGAAAAAACAAGAATCCATGAACAGGTACGAGGCAGCATCCAAACAAAGGTGACTGTGACCAACATGAAGGGAGACATGATGAACCAACACCGAACACAGGAAGAGACTAAATACAGGGAGGGGTAATCACGAGAAGCAGCCGGGCAGGGGAGGAGAAACACAAGGGCAACAGGTGAACACAATCAGACAATCAGACACACCAGGGAAACTAACGACAGGAGGAAGACACAGGGAGAACAGAATAGCAAAACAAAACCATGACAAGACAGACCAAACTAAACCGTGACATAAAACTAGGATCGTGACAGACTCTCAGTGAAACATCCGGAGCTTCATGAATATATAATATTCTATAATAATATATAATCCATCCGAGGGACGGTTTGATTCCCCTCAGAGGAGAGAGGCTGCTTTTCACTGCAACCTATTTCCTCTCTGCTGTTTAACCCTCTCATCTCCAGGACTCTGCACCGAGCGCCCGTATTCATATTTATCATTATTTGTCCGTCAGATTCAGAGCTTTCAGTCAGAGTCTGGAGGACTTTGATCCCCATGGTTTCTCTCTGCAGGATTCAAAGAGCTGTTTAAATATGAGCTGTTAAAGTAGGGTAAGGAGTCTCTGAGGGAGGCGTCACTCTGCCTTCACTTCCATCAGACCTCTATCCACACTGAGAGGTCTTTTGAACTGTTACTGTAACCCAGACACAGAGAGGCTTTCCCAACATGGAGACATCCAACACTGGCCCTCCTATTGGCTGGCGCTCCAACACATTGTACGTGATTGATACATGATATTGATATGTGAACCAATCAGAGCAGACTGGGCTCTGGTTTCAGACAGAGGGGGAAAAGAGGCCCCTCCCCCACATGAATGTGTCTCTGGGTTGATGTTCAGCTCCTATGAAGCAGAGAAACAGAGGATCTCCTGAGGGTCCGCAGGGCCCCTAATGATGGGGGGATTGTATCATTATATTATGTAAATGTGTCAAAGCAGCTGCTGGGACGTCATCTCCCAGCTGAAGGAGGAACAGCATCTGAAACAGAAGCAGATGTTGTCCCTCCTCATGAGTCCTGAGGTTTCCAGGAGAACGTGAGTCACCAGGATCAGAATACTGGGAGGGGAAACAACTTTATTTCAAACATAATGTAAATATATATATTTTAGCACAAGGAGTTGAAGATGTAATACATGGGAAGTATCACAGTGGTGTAGTTTGTATTTTCTAAAGATATGAACTAAGGGACAAAGGGACACACTGAGACACAGGGACACACAGGGACACACTGAGACACACTGAGACACACTGATACACACTGAGACACATTGAGACACACTGATACACACAGGGACACACTGAGACACACAGGGACACACAGGGACACACTGAGACACACAGGGACACACTGAGACACACTGAGACACACTGAGACACACTGAGACACACTGAGACGCACTGAGA